ACATCGATTGAGAAAGCACCATAATCGGGTCTTTGATAAAGAATTACGTAATACCTCGACTTCTCTCACAGCAAGTGGTACCATTGGTACGCGATCGTGTGTCACTATTTAACGATGCTTGCTATGGGAGAGTGATATCCTGAGTAACTGCCGTTTCATATCGTTGTCCTAGCATTAGTTCGTAGGCCGTACGGCAAAGTTCACTTCGGTCACCTTGAGCTTTTCCGTGGCTGCAAAAAACTCTTACAGTAACGTGTTCTCTAGGCCGATACAGAATTCTTCGGCATGCCCCATGTCTCTTTGTTTGCTAGTTTTGAATGTTTTGTCTGCTGGAATGATATGCAGTGCTACGATGGAGATCTAAGGCCGAAAAGTTCCTTGGCTTGTCGAATTAGCATCTCTGTCTTGCTTGAAAGCCTTAAAAAACTGCCCCCATTTACTGGACGTTTAATCATTCGGCGACTCCGCAATGTCTTCTAGAATTTTATAGAAAAATATCGATGACCAGGCAGAACCACCATTTAGGAAGTTTGCAACTTTTAAGCTCTTACACTTTTTTTAAATTGATAGTTATGTTTAAACAATAATTGAAACAAATAACAACCAAACCAACAACAGCTCAGTGTGAATCAGACGAGTACACAATTTAGAATTATTAAACCATCGTTGATTTTTTTAATTGTCTATTAAAGGATCGGCGAAAGGTAGTACGGACTTACGAGGGTTACTCCTTTGGCGTTGCCCTGTTTTCTAGACAATGCGCGGAAGCTACCTTGGGTCGAACTTGCCGGAATATTGATCTTCTATAGCTACCTGTTAACGGCAGCTAGTTCTTTAAGTTCTAAACTAACGGAAGGCGTACACAAAGCAGCCAGTAGACGTGTTCCCCCTACATGTCGAGTATAAGCTGAAAATAGGAATGTTGGCTGTATCGCCATAGCCATGTTAAGTCCTTCGTCATTTAAGGTTGTATTTGGTACTCTACAGTATTCCCTTAACCACTATTCGTGTAGACTTGAAGTTTGTAAAATACGGTTCGGACATGTATAAGTTAATCAACGTCTGGAACGTTGAATGGCATACATAAAAAAAAAAACTGCGCATCTATTAGTCTTCCGGGACATGCCACAATAAATATAGCCACAGCTACGACGTTTAACTACTTTGCTATACCTTTTTTTATTGTAATTTTGCGGCTGTAATATTTCCCTAGTTCGCCTCGCGTTTTTCCCATCATTTCGAACGCAGCCTTTAGGTGATTTAAATGTAATAACGGGATAATATTTTCGAAAAGAGCCTGTAAATTTCACCGTGCACCGTGTGTAAGCAGTACTTACAATTCTTTTCTATGCTTTACGTTGCCTTTCCGGTGAGTTTTGTACGACTTGATTAAGCCACCGCAAACCCGAAATCACGGAATCAGCCTGTAAAAGAAGTCCGTACCTCGTAATTTCGGCGATGCCTATCGACAGCTTGCGAGTAAGATCTCTGGGAAACGCTAACAGGGAACGTGGCACTATATATATGTAGTGAAATTTCATCGTGTTTACTTTTCCCAAACGGAAGAGCCTGTAACGTGCGTTGCAAATCCATTAACTGATAGGCAAGCAGGGCGATTGCTCTTAAGGAGAAGTTAAAGGTAAACTACAACTGCTGAAGCTGTTGGGCAGAAGTACCGCAATAACTACGTGATTAAAGTGCCGAGTTTACAAATTTGTGATTTTGACTCTACTCCCAGCCCACACTCAGTGCGGTTTCGTAACTTATATGGGTCCAAAACACCAGCACACAAAATAATTTACTTTTCGTTACCACGTTGTCCTTAAGTAAGTTGTTCAAGTTCGGTCCAAAGATTACAGTTTTTACAGGATTGTAGCAAACCTGTTCACGTTGAGCGATTTCGTCCCTCTTCATGTTCTTTATTAGACATAGTAAAAAATAAATTTCAAAACGAGGCATATTATCAGTGTGTTTTGTCGAGAAGGTCACTTTACAAAATAGCCTCTATAATGCCTTAAATACCTTAACTGACTACTTTAGCGGTAAGTATCAGGTTAGCGTGTACGGCCTTTCTTTTCTATTTTGTTTTGTCGACTCATAGCCAATTTGTATACATCGTTGTAAATCGCTCCTTTACTATTGTCTCCTTAATACAACCCGGGCTGTAAGTTTTAAAAATGAGCAATTCGGGTGAAGAAAAAAAAAACAGCATTTTCGATACTTTATCCAGATCAGAAATCTGCTAAAGTAAGCAAAAAGTAAAATAAACCAGATGTCAAGGAGGCCATTTTTCCATCCGATGCATCCGTCCTCCGAGCCTGAGGTAAGGTTAAAATTTAAAAAAAAAACACGTTCCTGTACGGTAGCAGCGATTCGACATCCAATCATCGCGTATCGATGAACGCCATAGATATAGTACAAGCAACGGTTTTAGGATGTCGTCTCAGTATCAGAACAGCATAAGCAATATATATGTACAGTCATATGCCAGATAGTAAAATATTTAGCTAAAAAGTTACGCGGTTACCTGATTACGCCTGCATCATGTCATTGATCCTGTCAGATGCTTCAATCCACGACCCAAGTCGTGGTGCTTATCCAGTCAGATACGCAATGTCGGTGAGGACACGTGAGTTCGTCTACTGTTTAGGCTGAAAAAACAGATTCAACTATTTAATACGGATCAAACTAACTACGTATAGTACGTTCCACATTTAATCATTTATGTAGTACTTAGTAGTACTAGTATCCATTGAATACTATACCGATAAAGGATATAATAACTGTATGTTGGCCTTCACTATTTTTCATGCAAGAATTTATACTTTAAATATCTCCCATGCTAATAACAACGGAACAAGAGTTTTTGTTGCACGCTGCCGAAATTGAAGATGTCTTATGGATATCTATTGTGTTTTTAGTCGCCGTCAGTTTATCCACGTGGGGGGACGTGATCGTCTACGTTCAAACCCGGCGTGGACAGACCTAGATTTGTGCTGATAGAAACCAGCGATCTGATGGAGGGTCCAATAACGGTACCGGATATGAAATTAAAAATATTTAAATAGTCTAACCACAAGTGCTTCTTCCAAGCAAATGATTGGGCAACTAAATTATTAGCACTTCAAGCAAAAATTTACGTGGACTTAGTCGTATAGATAATGTTAGTGAGTATCTTCATAGATGTAAATAATAAAAGTCATAGGGTTTAATTACTCATCTGACGTACACTCTTGCATTATGACTAAACTTTATTAAAAAATGTCCATTGCTTCATAATTTACTGCTTTCTTAATTTACTTTTTCCTTTTTGTGTACTGCTAGTGTAGGTACACCGATAGAATGTCTACATTTATTTTTGAGTTGCGTCAACAACGATTTCACAAAGCGCCACACAGAAGACGGGTATAACCTATATAAAAATTTTCCCGCTAAGTGCTTCGTTCTTCTATGTCTCTCTGTGTCGCGCGTTGATTTAATGCTGAAGCACTGGGAGTATCGTTGGGAACAATCCCGAGCTAAGGGAGCCAGCATCTGATGCCCTTTTATCGTACCTCCTACTGGCTTATCGTAGCAGGCGCAATCACAATGGCGGAGCATCGCTTCGATCTTTTCTCCGAGACCATAAAACGTCGCTGTCGTTCTTTGCGAGCTCGTTTTCTCCCTTCTCACTCCTCCTTCTTTCTCTCGATCTGTCCTCATTGCGCGCATTTTAGGAAGTAGTTGCCCCTACATGCGTTAGCTTAAACTAAATTGCTTGTGCACTGTCCCACTGAATGGGTATCGCTACCGAATCCGGCTGCAGGCACAGGATCCTACATCGTCTGAGGCAAGGCGGTTCTCAAGTGCCAATCAGCCGCATAAAAGCCTTTTCCTTAGATTCCATGAGGCCTACTAGATTCATACAATCTTCGACTCCGAATTCTTATCCGCTTGGTACCCCTTTTCGATCAATATTCCGTATCGGAGCCCCTAGCTTCCTGTTTGCGGGTGTTTCCTCAACTTTGCTAAAACACCCATCTACCCAATCGCTTACGCTCGCTACGACAGACCCCAGCGTCGTCTTCAGAATTTATTCCGGCCCTGTTCGTTTCGCAGACTACTTTAGCTTGCATCTGCAGACATTTGCAGCCTGGCGATTTTCCAGAGAAACGGAAGGAATGCGGGAATGCAGGAGGCCGGCCCTTATGTTTCGGCGTCTTCTTCTTCGGCAGTGAACTCGACCGCCTTTATCCCGTCTTGCAATCATCCCCTACGCGAATTTCGCATCTTTTCGTTTTCCGAGTTTCTGATACCGATCCCGTTCGCTCGTTGGTTCGTTTGGCTCACGCAGCCTCTAGCCGCCAGTCATCAGCCAGTCGACAAACTCGATGAGTCCCGAAAAGTCGCGCTCATGGCCGCACAGTTAGAGCGATCAACAGCTCGACTTGATGAAGCTTAATATGTACTTGCTGGGTAAAAGCTCGTAGGCGCCTTGAAACCTCGGGAATTGAACTTATTTTCTACGAAGTGACGGGTGGCGCCGTCCAACGGATGTTCCTTGAATCAGCTTCGTTCAATTCTCTTCCCCCGAAACACTGTAGATATTCGTGTTCTTAGTGGAGGCAGTACTAGGATTGCCCTCTCCTCCGAACAAGGCATGTGTGCGGTGTATGACCAAAAAGGGGCGTCTGTCTGGGGTTCCCTAAGCGCTAGGCGCCATCGTGTGTCCAGAATCCTGAGGCTAGGTGCCTGACTCTTTAACTTCCGTTCCTGCGCACTCACCCCGCGGTCCATCCAACGATGCTCTCTGTTTGGATGGTCTGCTTAGGCCGCATCTTGCGCGTGCCCCTCTACCTTGCTTGCTGCGAGAGCTTTCATGCCCATGTACCTGAAGTCCCTTCTCCTCTAATTCTAGTTCGGACTCGCCACGTTCAGAGTTGCGCTCGCTCAACTTCCCTCCTTCCTACGTCAAATGAGCATTTTATAGAAGAGGAGGGGCCGAACGGGCCGATCGAGCTAACGACAAACTAAAGCCAAACCATCAGGGGGCAGTAGGCACGGAGGAAGCAAACGGTGTCCTCCTGCTTACAGTGGCTGCAGTGTTCGTTGTCTCAGACGTTTGTCCTTTTTTCAACGAGAGCGCGCTGTACTACGCGGTTCACTCTTAGAGACAGCCACAGTCCACCTGCAGATCGTAGGCCGGGCCGTCATTCAGCAATATTAGCCCATAACAATAATGACATATCAATAAGCAGCAGGCTGCAGGGCAACGAGACAATAACAGAAGGCAGTGAGAGATAGGAACACAACAGTGAGGTCTCCTGCGCAGCCATTTCCCTCATACTTGATATAACACGGAGAAGTACACAACATCCAGCGGGGATCTCCCTTCCTCCGAAATCTACATCTGAGAGGCTGCGCTCTCGTCTCGCGTCTACAACAGATCGCGTTTGCTCCTCCCACTGCCGTTGCCTTCGAGGTTGTTGCTGCTGTTAACCTACTGTTATTACTATTGTGGCTGGCACTGCTCAATGATTGTGTTAACTCCGGTTGAATTCTTCGCTTGTCGGCGCCACCGCCACCGCCGCCGCCGCAGTTGCACCTGGAGCCTTTCTGCAGGCTCACCTTTTTATGTGGACATTGTTGCCTCATGTGTAACTTCGTAAGTAAGTTCTCCATTAGCTCATGTTTTTCGCCTCTATGTATGTAGACGTCTAAATCGTGTGCATAAGTGAATGGTGCTGGCGTGTGTTATGTTGGATGCAGGTACTGCCGCTTGTAGGTTTGCCCACGTCAAACGGGCCAACGTATCGACGAGGCCACTACGGTCTTAAGGAACAACTCAAAAAGGAACAGCTTGAAGAGAAAAACGTCTGGCGGTAGTAGACGATGGCGGGTAATAATTGTGTACGAAGCGATCTGCTGGTCAGGTTTACGGAGCTTTCAAGTTTTTATTGTTTTGTTTAGCCCTTGATGATGCAAAGGAGTATAGAGGTATTTTCAGAAAAACGGTACGGACTACAACCGTTATAGGAAGGCTAACATATAGAAATTTGGTGGCCAAAAACACTAGCCGGATTTCGAGCACACGCTTGTACGATACCATCAGTGTACGAGGGCAACGACAAACATACTAGCAGTACATGACAAAATAAGAACGGTCACTTTAATAACGAGCAACGACGCCGCAGAGAACGGACGGATGAATGAACCCGCTGAAGGATCAGCTTTTAAGAAGAGAACGGTCTCGAGCCTCACATCCATCTTCAAATCGTAAGAAAGAAAAGGCAAATAAAAACGACTCACCTCCGCTTGTTTTAATTGACAAATGCTGGTAAATCTATAGTCTGAATAACAGAATGACATAATGTACATAACTGCAACATATAAAATGTGTTTCGTCGTATAAGACAAAATTTTAATAAGGGCTCTATATTAGAGCTTCTACATATATATATATATTGATTCCAATAAGGGTCTAATCATATAGATGTTACGCTCTGATATTATAGGTTTTGCGAGGTCCAAAGGGGGTAGACACCGGATCAGTTTGTTTTATCGCTTCCTGATCAGTTGAACTATTAGTAAGGAACAATGTAATTGACTGAAGTGCAATGCATCCACGTACTTGTAGAGCGTCACTTAATCAGCGTAGATCAGTCCAGACCAAGAGGGGTATACGGAATTTATGTTTTCATGGCAATTTATGATGTGCTATGCTGAAAATTTAATCGATGAGGTAGTGGAGACTCCGGGGTGGTTCAATTTGTAAAATTGCTACCGCTGTTAGTTCAGGTGACTCTATATTAACCCAAGCGATATGTTACTACCGTTATAACGGTTCATAACACATACAATCATAATCGAATTCTGTGTTTCCCGTATTCCTATCCCACTTTAAAGTCATGAGAAAAAATCTTATGGGTCAGCTGCTGCAGAGCTTTAGCGAAATGCTACAGCTCACGTTGATAGTAGTAGCATACTGACAACATACGCAACATCGGTTGTTTCAGTAGTATAGAAAGACCCACAATAAGAAAACGAAATGTAATTAGAGGTTATGTATTTTTTTCCCAACACGTTCGTCGATCCGGGCAACTATGGCAACAGCAGATATTAAACGGAAAATATGACAGGGAAAATGCAATGCCAGTAATCGTCTAAAGACTGCCCTTTGGTTCTTCTGAAGTTATTGCAATTTTTTTCGCACGTTATAGGTATAGTTTTCTGTCTTCACGGCCAGAACATAACGTGTACCAGTTAGTGGTAAATTCAGTTGTAGCTATCTGAAGTACGATCTTCTCAGAAAAGCAGCTAAGCGTACCTACTTAACCTAGCTTGTTTATTCTGTTCAATGATCTTCGATCTATGTTTATATCCTCTTCTGTTGCTGCGAATCATCATTTTTCCTAAGCCGAAAAGGCGACACAGCAGAGTCTCATGCACGCAGGCACTCCCCATCGTTTTAGCGTACGTTTCGTTTGTATTGTAACTACGCTTCTGTTAGATGTTCAATGAGCTCTAATACATATCCCATTGCTCATTATCTACGCGTCTATTTTTTAATGTCACATACATCATAAAAGGCCTTACAATAGAGCATTCTTTTCTATTTTTCCTACACTAGAATAGCGCACAATACGATTTTATGTATGTGTGCCGACGACCTATGGCGCTTGTAAATGACGACCTTTAAGGTGTTTTCGATTCGTGCATCATCAGCGCCAATAATAGAATAGTAAGCCATTAGATTAGTGCAATATAGATGGCAAAGTAATACTACAGTCAAAAACAGTAGCCGAAAATTGCCTCAGGCGTAAATAGCAGCTGTTTTTCTCTTCCGTTAGAGATCATTTCCTGTCGTTGCGTTCATACTGTTTGACTGGATCGTGACCAATCTCGGTATTACATATGAAAATAAGGAATTTATATTTACGAGCGCAAGCTCTAGTGATTATCAAATAGATTAAGTTTTTTTGTCCTATCATTTCGACTGGCAGACGGGATCTCTTTTCCATTCAATACAGGTCGTAGTTCCTCGTATCTAATAACCTATGCCGTTGCCTGTAATAGATATCCACTCGTATGGAACGAACAATCCTTACGCCGTTCTGTTCATTTCAAACAGCTAACGTCGAGTATTGACAGGAATTTTTTTGGAACCTCCAATAAGATAAACGTTGGATATGATGTCCTGGTAAGAAAAAGAACATCTCCATGTTTACTAATCGCATCGACCAGCAACACATCTACTTTCTTCAGAGATAATCGGCATATTTTATCTTTGGCTCAGTATCAAACAGCAAGTGGCAATGTTTTGCTCAACACCGACCTGAATGGGGCTTTCAGTGCCCCAACTCGTTGTAAAGGATCCTAGCGTGCCTGTGTTTTCCTATTGGAAGGCATTTCAAAAATTTTGTTTTTTCGTATCCGCTCGATCTAACATCACCGATCCTACCACAGAGTGGGCCAAATACAATTATAACTATCACAATTAGTGCTCCGAAACAAACAGCACGTTTTTGGAGTATTGCCCCAAGGTCCCTAAAAGACATTGACACGCACGTAATGTATATCTAAATAGCCCGTTAGATTCAGTGCGCACCCGTGCCACCCATATTAGCTCGACCGTTCATAGAAAACCGGCCGGTCGGGACAGGCATGCATTATTATTGGTTACAAGAGTGGGTTCCGGTGCCTTTTAAGGGGGTCGGCGGCGTGACCTTGCAGGTCGTCGACCTCAAGCACGACGAATATCGCCGTCACCTGACACTAAAAAGAGGATAGGCATTGGGTTCACATCGTGGCGAAAACGAGCCCGGATTGATTCGGGCGGGCGAAGGACCGCCTACCTGTCTATGCCTACCTGACATGACACGCCATGTCAGGTAGCCATGGACAAAGCGTTGCTAAAGAAACGACAGGGATTCTAATGGAGTTACCGAGCCGGTGTATTGAGTCGCGAATGCCGCCACATTTATAGCCATTATTGTACCATGTTTCGGAGATCCTATGTATCTTATGGCGATTGCAGTATATATTGAACTGTAGAGGACGTATTGACGCATTTCTAGACACATGGCTTTAAAGCCACATCTCTCAGGGGAATTGACGTTGGCGCCATTCTGAAGCTGGTATTTGACAACAGTAAATATATTAAAGCTGTTAAAACATCTTTATTCAGATGTGAGATAGAGCGCCTCGCGTACGGGTGAAATGTCGGCAAAAATTCTCTATGTTCTGCAGTGTTACTTTACGACCAACATACGAATGCTACCGAGCCTTGTGAAGAAGTCTCTGTTTACAATTAGGAGGCGTTCTCGAAAGAAACGGCCTAAATGTGATCCCGTCATTTGTTCTCGAAATTTCGATGTGAAAGGTGCCCTCCGTAGTGTCGACCATTCAGGAACAATTTATTGCGAAAGCTGAACAGGACTGACCTGAGTGGCCATGACATTGTCAAAAATATAAACAGCTACGACAAAAGAGCTTTAGGCCACTTAAAAAAGATGGCTATGAAGAGAAGCTCGATGATGTTTGGGTGCTATACGGATTGACGCAAAGTAATTTACTCGATCGTGTTTACATCTGCGAAACTCTATAGAAACGTAATGAAATTGGGCCATCTCTTAAACGGTTGATCATGGATGATGAATAGCCGATCTCGTACAACACTAGTAGATGAAAAAGGTTATCGTCAAAGCAAGAAAAGCTCCACAATCGGTGGCAGGCTCCGACTTGACGCCGAAAAAGGTGATGCTAAGTGCCTGGTGGAAAAGAATCGTGTCTTATAGGCTGCCGCTTTCTGACATAACGATATATTCAGCCCTTCACCGTCAAGAGATTGTAACACGCCATTGAAACAACCAGCCCGAACTAAATTACAGATTGAGGCACCGTCTTGTGCCACGGCAAAGCCAGATCACACACATCCTTAGTCACCGTGAGAAAATAGAGATGGCTAAGTTAAAGCGGGAAACTTTTAATGCGCCCGCCGTATGGTTCGGATCTTGCATGTTCAGACCATTATCTGTTTTGATTTCTGCAGAATTACCCTAATGACGGTTATTTGCATTTAATGGAAGGACAATGTCAAAGTCACTTGAATCAGAAAAATTCTACAGTGATGAGATTCTGGTGTTAGTAGAAGAATAGCAGAAGCGAAGAATCTGACGTTATCAGAGAAGTCGAAGTCGCCCATATTTAGTTTAAAATATTGCTTTTAAACGTAAAAAATATTTGCCTGATCCTTGGACGCGTTTCGTATGTCCTAAATACGCGATTAATGTGATGAAGACATTTATTGCATTGATTATTTCTATCGGGTGCTTGCCTTGCTAGACTGAAGGTGTCCGAACAAATCTTAATAACACGATGAGCTATTTGAACGAACCATACGCTGAGCAGAGTACGAACGCAATTGGAGTAGGCACACACGGTAGGCATATCAGAGATGATTTAAAAGTTTCAGAGGATCTAATTCGATTAATAAAATTATAGTCTTCACCGCCGTGGAGTCCCCGATCAAAGCTGTTCAATTGCAACTATGCAACAGCTGAAGTCAAGCTGGATAATCATAGAATTTAGTTAAATTGTATCTAAAACACCACAAATTATTTTAAAACCGTTTCTTTATAAACACTATATTTGAAAATTTATGAGACGTACGATTGCGTTTCGTTTCAAACGCTGTATAAAGATTTTTTGAATACGAATAAGTAACGACTGACGGGGTGTCTCTACAACGGAATACATCAATTTATTGAACACCAATTGTTTGCGGGATTTCCTGAATAATTTGCCGGATTCTGTCTGGGGCCGCCGATTGATGTGCATCAGTTGTACGCCAGTCTATAGGGAAGATTGTTGAAGAAAACTCAAGCTATCTATAGAACTTGCATAATAATTAGGTGAACGTAGAATTACTAGTGACTCCATGAAGCTTGTGATTTTTGCTGGATTTCCAGATTAGTGAAATTCGCTTTTTGAAAAAGTAAAGATTTTGCTTGCAGTAACAAACTAACAGCCACTATAATTCTATGATGTAGGCATGACACAGTCCTAGTTGTCCTAATGAAAAACGAAACGCTCAAATAGTTCCCGGGTCAGTTGTGGTGCGCTTTGCGGACTCTCGGTCGAAGCCTTTGGCTTAGGCCCTGTAACGGCCCGCTTTAGGGTCTGTCCGAGACGAAAGTGATTTACATTAGATTTTTGACTCCGCCAATTTCCTAAGAGGATTTGGAAGATTCGGAGATAAAGCATTATGCCCAGCAAAACAGTCAAAATAGCAGCAACAGCAAAGCTTGTAAATATGACCGTGTTTCCAAAATGACTTCGTCCTATTACCATTTGCAAAAATGATGAAATTCATAAAATGTACGTGTGAAATTGTGGTAGTAGCTATTAGTCCTCATCGATGGGCTATTCAGAAATGTACTGACTAGGGTTCGGTATCATATATGCTTGATAAAGTCATGTGGATATGTTAAAAGCAAGCTCCCACATATCATCGTTCTGTTATATACCATCATGCTATTAGTCAACAAAGAAGGACTGGTCATACAGAACTGGCAGTTGAACGAATGAAATTTTAGGCGTATTTATTAGGTAGTTAACTAAGCAATCTCTGTATTGTTTGTCGCTCTCTTACTTTCTAATGCTTTTCGTTTGCTAGTGGTCAAGTATTACGAACAGCTCGAAAGATCTTAGCAGGCTCTGTGAGGCGGACGTTTGTTGAGACTATATCGTTTGGTCCCGGGTTGGTGCCTCAAAAATGGGCCGGTATATCCATATAGCAAGAAGCGCGACGAAACTAAAAAGTCTGCCCCTGTTTAGAATCCTCATCGTACGCGGAAGAGATGAGCTGAGTTGATTTCGTAAATTTTGGACATCAGCAATTGGTCGGTGCCTTGAGCTTACTATATTCATACCGGCTTTTGGAATACTAACTTAAAGCAAGGTCTTCCGATTAAGCTTGCCGACAATCTTGTAGAGTAACTCTATATAAATCTTGACCCTCAAGGAGATCAGATCTAGAAAAGAAATGCAATAAACGAAAATGTCAATTATTTTTGGAAATTAGCAATAACATATTTGTCCTAATCCGTCGTTCTGGACATCGTCAAGGCTAGTCGATGAGTCCAGCTGTTCGGTGACAGCGTTCTAACACACTGTACTATATTTAGCCTATTCAGGACGCGTATGCGTAGATGTTCAATAGATATAGTTGAAGCATAACCGTATCATTTATTTCTTGTATGAGGACGTTCATGACACTATACGAACACGACTGTACAATCATAGGGCCTGAATACCATAGGGCAAAACGAATACCATATTCGAAATTTCGTGACGTTTCAGTTACTCGTTAAGGAAGTGGTAGATACGTACGTACGTACGTTCGTCTATACTTTTGCAAAGACGGCGTGGACTTGGATTGAATTAAGTGGAACTTGTCTCTTGCGTCAGTATGCGGCAAATCAAATCTCTCCGACGTATACCTTTCGTACTGCGATGACTTCTTCTTTTAAAACATCGTTGATTTTCAAGTGAATCTTCAAGTGCGCTTTCTCGCATTTGAAAACGTAAAAATTGATGCTCTGACGGTCCTCTATCAACAGAAATGTCTCAGGCTTCGAGGCACGTCCGCGGGCGATAATAGATTGAGAAGAAGGGTAACTGCAGTCCGACGAAGGCTTTTACTTGGCTGTTACTTTGATAAACAGACTATTTTAGAAATGTTCCCAAAAAAAAAAAGCTCCCTCTGCACGCCATAATCGATGTCAGCATGCTCCCAAATGCTGGCTTGATAATTTATTAAAAACATACATCATTCAAACAATTTCTTAGGTGCATAAACATGCACTCATTGTTCACGATTGTACATGCCTTGGCTAGACGATATGTGCACGATTTATGGTTTAGGGCAACGCAGCTAAACTTCAATACACTATTCCCTATCGCGGGTAGAACAGCTATTTCTATTGGTGTTTCTCGGCTGTAGAAAACACGACTGGTTTCAGACTCCTACAAGACATATGCACGCAATACGAACCCTGGCCACGACGTATAGCATAACGGTACTCATTCATGATTTCAAAGCAAACACACAAGTGACCGTACGACCAAGCGTGATGGCATGAAAATTATCATGATCACCGTCCGGAGGAGCTGTCATTTATTTCGAATATTCTCAAGAGATATTAGACGCTAGGCCTGCCGGCCAGCCCATCCTATCCAGATGTCGCTAGAACCTATATATATATATATATATATATATGTATGTATGTATGTATGTATGTACCGTCGTATTTGTGTACACAGCTGGCATTGAAGTCTTTTCCGGTGGTATTTGTAATCAGCTTATTGCTTTGGCAGTCATCACACATTTGGCATTGAAACGGATGCGCGTGAGTGCGATAGCGTCACTACACTCCACCCGTAATATATTCGTTTGAACCGATCCCCACCCGCTGATCTATCTCGTCGTTGGCGTACGAGTGACGCATGGGTAAGAACGCTGGTCGGTTTTTTTCGAAAAATTAATAGCATTTGGAACGTGTCACCGACGAGCAAATCTCCCCGATATACATTAGTGTACTGTCTGTTCGAATGTTACAAGAAGACTGCCGAAGATTTTCGAAGACTAGATAACGAGGTGTCAGCTTATGTCTAGGGATATAATTGACGCATGCTAAAGCCCGTTTAAGCGTATATATATCCGGGTTGTTGGGCTAATTTTTCTAGTTACTATACCAACAATACGCTGTAGAAGTATACTTTTGATAGAAAGACAGCTAAGCACAGTGCGTGAGATTGTCATAACCAGATGTACGGTAACTTGCGTGATACTGCGTGAATTAGTAAGTTGCATAGATAGCGACGAGGTCAAAAATAACAAATGGATTTCTACGGCATCGAATACGCTGTGTAGTGATATAATAACAAGTATAGGCACTGCACTATGACTAAAAGTGTAGCTAGTATTATTTCGATTTCCCGTTTAACTACTGCAGACGTAGGTAAGCAACTGGCAACAATCATTCTCCTTTTTGGTGTTTGTCTGTTTTTGATTTTAGTAGGACGATTCGTTTCTGTCAAACAGACCTGATCATTCGTTCTTAACAAGAACATCGTTACGCTCGTGCATTAAGTAAAGTTCAATATGCTGTGTTGTACCCCTTTAGCAACAGCAACGTAGAGAAAGATAACATAACCCTTGGTAAAAATACCTCGAAGTGTCAGACCTCAGGATATGGAAATATGTTACTGTCGTCACTCAAGAAGTGGCCTCGAAATGTCGGCCCGCTTTGCCGTCGACAAATGAACGCCGAGGTTTACAATGCTGCCGTTGCAAAATCATTGCTTCGGCCATTTCGTTGCCCATTGTCACCGTTTATGCCAGCCTGCTCTGGTCCTCTCAGTCTATTCGGCTTGCTACGTGACGCGGCAACGCAACGTAGCCACTCACCCTGCTCGTAGCCTCAGCGGGGCATTCGACGCAAAGATACGCAAGCTACACGCGTCGAGCAGGGCTCTGAAGACCAACAAACCTTGGGGCAACGCAAAAGGCCCAGACAACAATGTAGTAATAGCAGTAGTGCTGTTGCTATCAGAGCCGCCCGTACCACTAGCAGCTCGATGCATCAGTGGTTACCCCACCGCAGAACACCCATATACTCTGCCAATAACTTCTTTTCCTTCCCAGCCAAACTCGCTTACCCGACAACAACTGACTTTTGTCGTTATCCTGTCTGCACATCGAGCGTGAGGTGGCAAGTCAACATAAGGAAGTGTCTAGTTGCTCGTCACTGAATGCTTCTGTCAAGCGCCACTATTGATTCACGTAAAGTTAACACAGAAGATGTAGAGTAGTAACGAGATGGGTTCTACTCGATTATCGGCTGGTCCTTACTTCTCAGGCCATGCCGCTGTGGAGTAATGGCCAGCCATTGACTACGATGGGTCGGAATAAATGTTTTAACACTATGTACCACTACGAGAGTTTTGAGCTCGATTTTTCGTTGATAAATATGTACAACACGGTGCACTCGTCTATGACTCTGCACTGGTTAATAACAAAAATGTGTCATAGAACTATTTCGAAAATGTCAACATATCAAAAATTGAGAATATGGTACTGTTATTTAATTAAAGGCGGGGTGGCCTTAAAACCGGTTAGGACCGTCGAAAAACAGATTGACCAGCCGCGCGATATGAGCTATTTGAGCGAATCTAGTTCTAATTGTCACGCCTACACATAAGTTCTTGTGAAGAAGCGCAGGCAAAGGTGTGTATATTGGCATCAAGTAGAAAGCGTGAGATCAGGGGAGGATCAACGTCAGGAGTCACAATTTCGCTACCACGTTTTTTGGTTGACCAGCACGCTCAAAAACTTGTTGTTTAATAAACTCTAAGTCCGCCAAAGATTAAACGACAAATGAAAGCCTGAAAGTGACCGCAGCATTCTATAATCGGCTCGTTGGTACGTAACGTTGTTGCTCGTCAGTTTGACAATCGTGACAAATATTGATCTAAAATAATAAACTATATCCATTTTGTTACGCTGTTTTAGAATTAAAAAAAAAAACATCTAAATACGCCTACTTGCTTTTTACAAATCACTGCAATCGATGTTTTGATATATCCTCTGTTCTGACCTTGACGGTCTAGTAGTTTCCTTTTTGACAGTCAATGAGTGTATCACGTTTTGTATTTCTGTTCCGCTCTAAATTGGAGCATCTATTTACCTCACTGCCTGCCGAACGTGACGACGTTTGTTCGTTGTCATCCAACAAAGTGCAATAGACTGTTTCATTTTAAATGTTCTAGCTATCTAGATATTTTTTTAGAATGAAGATGGTATATTCCAGCGATAGGGTGGTACAGAACATCAGCCTTCTTTTTCTACTATCTATAGTATATATACAATATAAATTGGACAGGTATCCGTAGCTGGCATTGGGAACTCGAGACCGTATGCTGGTAGTCTGAGTCTCAAAATAGCTTAGTATCACGAAAACTTCCTGTTTGAGTAAATATTTATCAATACTAGGCTTGTGAACGCCGGTTCTACGCTGTCACATATGAGAAAGTACACTCCGGGTCAATTTTATCATGAATGCGATTAGTTCTTCCCGATGATGCTTGAAGTAGTTACACATAATCAAAAACTACTTCAAGCCGCCAAAACGAGCGCACGTTGACTCTCACATCGGCTTCTACCGCTTATTGCCGTCCAGTGGTTAACGGAGGACGTCTGTGCGAAGTTTGTTCCATGTTTCATCTAATGATGCGTTTAGATTACGACAGCCGGACACAGAGTTTTTGTATCGCGGTCGACTCGGCTGGATGGAGCAGACAACGGAAGCGAACTCGAAGGTAGAAGCGGGGAATGAATGGGGGGAACAGTGAGATCCTTTATGTTTGAGGGGTATGGAATGCGTTGTGGAGGCATACCATGGGTCACAACGAGAGCTGGCTGGAAAGTGGTCTCCAGAGGAATTCTATTGGCACATCCATCAACGTCGACGGCTCAGTTAGCTATGGCGCTACTGGCAAGGTCTAAGGAACTTTTAGTAAACGGGCTTACCCTGGTTTTTAGGCTTGGCTACAGCCACAGTCCTTCGTGAAGCGGCCAGGGGCCATGCTTCAGTTGGCCGGAGGGTACTTGCTGTCTCCGCTCCGGCAGTGAGGCTGACTTATGCTCACTACTCTCTGAAGGACAACGATGACGGCGCCACGTAGAGCGGGACACGCGGAGTTTTACATGTCTTGCATAAGTCTACCAACCGCGGAATTAAGCTGCTGCTCGACCTCGAGGGACGAAACGAATGTGAGTGAAGAACGGCCACGTAAGAAAAACTTTTGTCCGGATAACCCTGTGCACTAATGCTCGATATTAAACATAATGTGGTTCCAAGACAGTTATTTGGCTCGCAAAAGAGTCATCGTGAGCAGAGATAAGATTCTTGTTGCACGCTAGATGTTCTGTTAACTTCGATAATCATCAATTCAAGTTACAATGGTTTTCTGCTAATACTACCATTAGTGTAATAATAAATCTTTTTGCTTAAAAGGTAGATGGTATAAATATAGCCGGCCTATATGTCAAATACAAGTGACAGTATGCTGTGTTCCGATGAAATGGATTCTGATGAAGATCATAACTATATATATAATAACAATAATAATAGTAACAATAAAAATAGCAGTAATAATAAATTGGAATAAATGTAAGGCGAGAGCTAGGGGCTGGTAAAGCAAGAGCAAGATCTAAACGCGCTTTCTTATACCCTAGTTTAATGTTTTAATTAAGAAGTAGAAGGCAGAGAATCTTAGGAAAACACCCTCAGAGTGGCCTAACATAAAAATAAATATTTAAAAATGGCGAATTACATGGAATATAATGTGGTGACACACACATATATATATATATATATGTGGCAACACTGAAAATGCCGACATATGCTTTATTAAGGTCGCCTAGGGCTGAAATAGATAAATCAGCTATTAGCATAAAATGTCCTATTAAAATATAAATTATTTTTTCCTATAGATGTTCAAATTGGTTAACGCGGGATAATTACTTTGCCAAGGGAATGGCTCTTAAAATCGATCAAAAACATTATCAGTCACATTATGGAGAGTGGCAATTCGTAGACTCTACATACACAGTGCATCGATTTTTCTAATCATTATCATCATAAATATTGTCTCATTTTTTTTAACTATTTATGGTTGGTAACGAATCCTTGACAGATCGCCTATATAAAGTATGCAGTGGCCAGCTATCTAGACATGCAAACTTTAATGTAATAAATAACAGGGCTCTTATTTTCAGGTGTATCACTGGCGACCTGTCTCGTTCAGTTGTGTCTTTCATCTATGAAACATCGCCACATAGGATGCCCCGGCACTCAGTCGGCCCCAGTTCGTGCCTCATGCAAAACCTCTAAGCCTTTTAGGCAGCAGCACAGCTGCACCTCGTCATTATTACGGGCCGCTGAAAGCCACTAAAGGCTTTTGGATTAGACAGCCTTGCCTTGACGCATTCGCTTTAACCATCCGATCGACCAACGTCAACCTACAGGATGCCACAAGTCGTAATGCTATTGACGCTCGCGTCGCTGCCCCTATCTACAGGATGCGTTTCCGCTCCCGAGATTCCTGTCACGCGTACGCCACTTAGTGGGAACGACAATAGTAAGTAGCGTTCCTGAAAATGATTTCCGGTTACCTTCCGAAGGTATTAAATAGGGCCAGTTCTACAGATTGTTATAATAAGATAAACAACCGAATGATTAGAGCACAGTAAATTACATATTTTGGTTTTATACGATAGAGACACGACATTTCTTTGCGAAGTACCTATAGTAGGTGTTATTGATAATTACGTAATAGTGTGAGCTTGTATTCATTACAATAATTATCGCCATATGGTGCAAATGAGTCATGGGCATATGTATGAACTAAGGAAGACTATATAGGAAGTATATCTTGGACGGATGGGCTCGTGGTTCCCCGTTGCGGCGCGAGTTCCGATATCACCATCGTATCTTGAATCTATAGACGTGTGAAAGAAAAACGAGTATAGTGTGTGAGGTGGAGAAAATAATCTACCCTCAACAAGCCGAGGAGGAAAAGCGAAAAATAGGACAAACAATGCAAGGACGTGGTGGCTTTACCCGGCTCAGCAAGCTCATAGCAGGACCGGCTGCGTGTCAGGCGGTTCCATGCTGATGAGCAGCATACTCGACAGTCGAATTGGTTGGCCCGCCACTCTCGGAACTTTGTAACAGTAGATTACAGAGATAGGCAACTGCAACGGCGAGAGACGGCGGAACATAGCTCAGAATGTCAGTTACACGGCCGGGCGAACGAATAAAGCCCGCGAGGAAGTACTGCTGGCCTGCTTGATACATGCCGCAACCCATCCTTGACTACCACGAAATTTCCATAGAAACTCTACGTTTCTAAGAACTAGGGGTGGTTCTTTGTTCTATTATTTAACTCGATCCTCTGCAGTGTAGGCCGGTTAGGTGGTGAATTATGTGATAGGCATCGCAGTGCTAAAAAAAACTTTTATAAAGGGTTTCTTTTATCCTTGTTTTGGCTCTGACAAAAGGCTTGCTCAGTAGAAGCACGTTTCTGACAATTTTTTGAAGAGTGAGTTGATTTACGGCCATATAAAAGTGAGATGTTTATAGCCATGTTTGGCATTTTAGTACGTTGCTATGAAGAACACACTATGGTTTCTGTGGTTTTCAATGCGATTCAATATTCTGAAAGCAATCTACATTAGGTTACACTTGAGCCAGTTAAGTATAGATTTTTTTTTTTTAGTTTTTTACTATTAAATCAGCTGTAACGACACTTTGTTTTCAGTTTGATTTTCCTTTAACTTGATTAACTGGCCTTCTGTGTCAAGAAGTGAAGTCACTTGCCACTTGTTAACTGTGCACTCGATTTCCAAATAAGATGTTTGTTATACTATCTCAACACAATTTCAACCTGCTTTATTCGAATCTTGGTTTACTATCCGAGACTAAATCGTCGTCAGTGCATTGAATACGCCGATCCGAGATACCATAAAATAGGCTCGCCACCCAGCTACCTATCAGGCTACATTTTAGCCCAGCGTATGCATCCGCAAACTCCTATAGTATTCACCATGAAATGTCCTGTTACTCAGAACCTAGATACTTCTTTTGTGAATGTGAGCGGATCTGGCCGGCTTTGTCGTTGCCTGGCATGGTAACTTCAAGATTTCTGAGACAAGGGAATAAACTTTTTCGTCATATTTCGCTCGCCCTGGTCCTGCCAGTAGCAACGACGGTCGTCAAGGGCCAATCTAACGCATTATTTACAACGTCCGCATTCGTTACTTACGACGAAGACTCGATGTTACTAGAGGTCGCGATACAGGACTTCCCACATTGAATAATGTGCTACTTTTGTTGTTTTCTCCTGTCGGTCTACACCTGTTTGCGGGTAGAAGATATCGAGGAGAACCACTATGTAGCTCAGGGACGCGGTCTGGGCTTCAACGCTCTAACCTGTTCCACGAGAGGTGTGAGATTTTATGACGAACAAAGCTGAAGTCGCACTTTCACGTTATGGCTGCCATTGTAGGCCTTCCATTGATGTAGGGCAGGAAAGAGAAAAATCCCTAAGGTCTGTTGTCTCCTTTTTGATTAGATAATTGTATATAAATAGGTTAAGCTGTCACGAATATTTTGCAAATATTTGATGATATGTAGTGACATGGAAGGGAGCGCCTGGGTGCATTCATAGGGGGGAACCGCCATCGCAGAACCTCCAGTACTTCATGCAAAAAGTAGAGTTTAACTGCTTTATTATTGCCTATAAAGTAAAGGCCCGTGCGGCTGGTCATACAGGAGACGGTGGAAAGGCTCAGTGACAATGGGGCTGTCAATAACAATAACAACAGTAATAGCTTTGCAGTGAGCGACAGAGTTTTCGTTGTCGCTTAACAAATTTATCTCTCACACAAGCCTCCTGCTAGCTGTTTTCGCCTTCCATGACAAAAGATATAGGTCAAGCGGTTCGACATTTTTTTTATCATCTGTCTCATTCTCTTCGTTTTTCATTGCTGCAGATCGTTGAGTTTCAATAAATGGAACTCAGCTAAAAATAGCCATCGGTCGTTTGTCGTAAGACCTGCGTTACTTAGATCACTAAACGGACTTACGGAATATACATAATATATCCGTAACCATAAAAACCCATAGATAAGCTTTTTGAAGCATTCCTATGGGCGTAATGAAGGACATGATACTGAGGTTCCAAGGCGAGTACTAGGTGCTAAAACAAAGGATAGCTATCAGTAGTATCGCATTCTTTCTATGACAAAGTGGCTGACCTGTGTTTCAACCATCAGTATTCCGAAAGACTGTAAAAGTGTTCTTGTAGCTTCTTAGATGAATAGGATAAATACCCTGGGCAGTTATCTAGCTATCTAAAGCAATGGCTAGCCCAACCTATTGTCGCCAACTATTCTTTCAAAGCTTGAGTTGTCTTTAGTGTTGTTTGCAGACCCAGAGTCCACCTGACCAGGTTCAATGGTTGTTGTAGCGCTGTACCAGTGAAGATTTCTAAAGGGAATATATGCTACGATGGTAGTGTCGATTGATATTGACACAGGTTTGAGTTCTAGATTACAGTATATACGAGAAACGATTGTGTTTAATATAGAAAGAATATTAGATAAACGTAGTTTAACATAACTGCGGTCAGCTATCATTCTGCGCCACCATGAAACAATCCACCGCTCTCGGCAGAACTTGTTCATAGATATTGACTTGCCTCCTTATGGTAAAGCATTTTGTCTAAAACTCATTGCAATTAGCGCTGGATTTAGGCGGAAACTCCTAGACAATACTGCTGTAGCAGTTAAACGTTATTACGGCCGCATGGAGTAACAGGAATTAAATTCCATGGATCGTTGATTTTGTCAAGGAAATATAGCCTTTATTAGAGGCAAAATTCTATATAACTCAAGAGATTTTCAAGTGCAGCACCAACTGGAACATCGTGCTGTCTTTAATAGGACTTTCGTTCATTATATAGACGCTTCTCTTACGACGTAAAATAACTTTGACTTTACCAAAAAAATATCCTCAGTTCTCCAGGATTCCTCGAGTTTGCTCTGAGTAACCAAACGCCTTTGACGTATCACGCAGCGTACGCCAGTTTGAAACTTTATCAGTGTATTTCCATCAAGCCATTCTACACTGCGTATCTACAAAGGAAGACTCATGTCCCTACGTAATTTTCGACTAAACAACACGCGATGATAATTAAATATTATCTTTTTCTACGGTCGCTCAGCACAAAATATGCGTTCTACAGCCATCACAGCGTGAAACATACATTGCTCTCGGCAGAATCTGTTGGCAGATACTAACTTGCTTTCTTATCGTAAAAAATTTTGTCCAAAAAACTCATTGCAACTAGCGCTGGATCTAGGCGGGAACTCCTAGGCGGAGCAACTCCTACGAATTATAGTTGCCCCTCTGTATGTTTCGAGATTTCAAAGGTTTCTACTCTGTAGCGGAGTCCGAGGCAAGCACTTTTGGCCAGTCTATATGCCATACGGAAAAGCTAAGACCTCAGGAGTCTGCTGAAGAGTTTCACCGCCGCCTGTTCAGGGTCAGTGAGCAGGAGGGATCAGGGGTCAACAGCTGGTCTCCGTTTCCTGCACGCCTCCTCTGACGGAATGGATATCGAGGCGGGAGTATGGCCGAGGCTCAGATTATAAAGGCCCATCTGTTTTTTTTTAACAGCAGCGTCTAGTAGTAGTCGTATTGCTAGAGTTATAAAGAGAACAAATGGAACTAAGACTTGGCAATGGCCAACATGGTCGACTTATCAAGAACCGCTGGTCAAATGCTACAAGCTCAATCAAAAGTAAAAGAACCCTTTCGTATATAGACACTCGTGTATGTAACGTTACGTGCCGGATCCTTCCAATGGATCCAGCTTGTGTACAGGGTAAAGGGTCTGCGCGGGACTATTTCGCAGAAACCGGAAAAAACAGCTTATTGAGACTGCTGTACACACAAATCAAAACTGCCCTAATGGTAAGACTTCTACCTCATTCGGCTTCGTCCTTAGCCTGCTGTAGACTTGTGCTCACATATAAACAACATGGACGTTCCACAGCTACTAATGTCCTTCAGGCATTCAGTACTCACCATAAGCAACCGTAGACAGATTCGTTACGCAGTTACCTATTGATACGTTCGTTATGTGTAGCATGCTTTCCATAGATTTAGCTGAGCATCTATTGACCACCCGCTTCATGTTCCGATCCCTCCTCGAACACTGCGTGTGTCATTACAAACATATACATAGAATGGAGCTTCTTTTCTGAACCCCTGTCATAATGGACCGTACTGTAACAAAATTTATTATAGCTAAATAATAAGTTCTGTCCTCCTTAAGGATAACCATTAACACAGAAACGGAGCTTTACTGATCAACTGTTTCCCTCGTTAACTTTAAAGTCGTTCAATTGGGGGCCTTCTGATTGCTGTCGTAAAATTCAAAGAATATTTCATACCTCGCACTGCGCAAAGGGTAGTTGTACGAATGCCAACTATAAGGGGACAGTGCACGCTGGTGGAATGGTGGGTATCGTGCGACCCACATATGAAATCAGCGGCAAAATAATGCGCAAA